AATTTATTCACGGCATGGGTATTTCGCTCACTATGCCCTCTAGTTGACTTGGGAGACTGATACAGGACGCGCACAGCAGATTTTTACTCTCGCTTGATTATGATCGTTTCCTTAGTATTCCTCGGTCGGACCGTGGATTAAAGCTTTGTTACATCTGTTCAGCGTTCGAACAAACTTTATTGTCAAGTTTCACAATAGTTGACTCTTTACGCGACTTGCCTCTATCTTCATGACTATAGCTTCAACATGACTTTGAACCAAGAGCGTTTGCTGTAAGTTCATGGACTAGACATTTTTTTTCTTGCCCCATGCCTTGCCCTGCTCGACGAGGTTTGTGATTGATATGCCGGGCGTCGTGCTCATGAAGTCGATAGGCCATACCAAAAATGAGCTTTCTTTTAGTAAATAGATGGCTGAGAGGCAAACCTGGTCTGTAGACGACTATCCACCCTCCTTCATCCACCTCCCGGGAAATACAAGGATATGCAAACAGAAAGAAAAAAAGAACATTTCGCAGGCGGCCACTTACGAGCCTACGTGCACATATAGAGCATTCGAGAATGAATGGAAAGTGGATTTTATACAGCTCACAGCTCAACCTCGCGATCCCGCCTTTGTCAACAGTCTTTGCTTCATATTTCTTTAATCAGACCCCAAGAACCTGGTCAACCCAGAACTGGATATCAGCTCCCTGGATGACGATCTGTCGGCCAGCTATGAAAAGTGGCATTTCGGTTGGGAGAAAGAGATCAGTGTCATCCAAGACCAAATTTGCTGGTGGTGGGGCCGGTGTTTGGTAATATGTCCACGGCCCTCGAGCACATCGTGGAGTGGAAGTGATTGGGTCCCGATTCCATACCCCTATTGACATGTCCAATAAAAGAGTTTTGGTTCCTGGGCGAATTTTCACGAGGACTACCGTCAAAACCTATAATCAAACACAATCAAGTAAAGCTGGCAAGGCTCGCATAAGGGCGTACCTGAGGCCCAAAATCATTTAACCATTGTCGCGCATCATCTTGGAGATCGTTTATGGCTTCCGATACCCCGATCTCGATGACGATGCTCGGCATCTTGCTGGGTCGAGCTACCGGGTAAGCAGACCAGTCGGGCTGTTTTCTGTAATTGCCATGAAGTTGTTCTGGAAGAATCATGGTGGCAGTTGCAAAGTCAAAATAAGGGGACCTACCACCAGCTCCTGAGGTGAAGAGGTGCCTCATGAAGGTGTTGTTGAGGGCCTGTCCGGCGCCCAAGATAAAATTTCCAAGGCCGGCAGCCCGGCCATGGGTACTGCCAGGCACATGCATTTTTATCCTCAGATGCTCGGAATCGATAGAAACACTGCCAAGGAAATAACTTAGAGAATAAACACATGGAAGGTAGAGGTGACGGTATACCGAAGCATTGACCTGAACTCTAGTTCATCGATTTTGTCGAGGATAGCTTCGAGGGTGTGCGGGTTCTTTGGAAGTTTGACTTTGAAGTACTTTGTACATGTACAGGTCGCGGGTTCACTACGAGTGACGTTGATTTCTGCAAGACTAGAAAGAAGGTTAGAACAATCCACCACGGGTAGATGTACCAACATTCGCATTATGACCTCCGAGTCTGGTTCTTCGGCACGAGCAGTCGAGGTCATTCCGAAAGGTGAGTCGCTGTAGATAGGGGCGTGCTTTGGTCATCAAAGTTGATGGATTCACCTGACACAAGGCATGTCATCGAATCTTACCTAACCGTTCCTGCCAATGCCGCCGTCTTCCCCAGTCCTCCTCCTCTTGGCACCAGCTAAATCCTCAAAATGTTCTCCATGTTCAAGCTCTGGTCCGCATTCCTCAAACTGCTCAATCCCAGCCATTTACCTTGTCTTGATCTTTTTTTCCAGCGCAATCCTCGCACTCGCGGCTCCCTTTGCGTCTGCCCTTTCTATCACGGCCATCTCAGGAAACGTCGTCTCCGAGGGCTCCGTAACGATCACCTGGACCACTGCCAGCGCCAGCGACGACCCGTAGGTCCAATTTCAGCCGCGTCGTTTGGACGTAGCTTTGGGTTTACAGAGTGCGGGACGCGCGAACGCGAGGCGGATTTTCTGGGTGCGTGGCCACGGCTCTTCGAAATATTGCGTGCTGACTTGATTTTTGCACTTGTATTCAGTCGGACGGGTGTCTATTGCATCCCCGATATGCCTGGTGCGTTCTTTGTGTTGCTGACTTTTTCCCCCGTACACTTATACGTGTATTTTGCGCAGTGGATCTTGATTTGAAGTGGACGCGGCACCTTCAGACTTACGTCGACTTCAAATCTCATGCACGCGCTACACACAAGTCCTCGGCCGGCCTTGAATTCACGCGCTTGCGTAAGTCGTTTTCTCGCATTTTATAGTTCAATCTCACAGCTGTGAATCGTTAGTGGTGGAAGTAAGTCAAAGGAGCGGACTCACTGGATATTCAAGTCACTAGAAACTTGTAAGTAATGTAGCGAATATATCTACCTCTCGCCTCCACCGCCTTGTGTACCCGAGCTAGCGCACAGGTCTCCTGGCATCTCGCGGCACATGACCCGGCGCCTCCACTCATCGTCACCGTCGTATTCCGCGCGCGCTTGCTCCAAAGCTTACCGCAAAGGAATCAGCCGAGTCTCTTATGTCCAAAAAATCCAGTTCAAACCTTGCTGTGCGTTGCGTGCACCTCGTCCACCGATATCCATGCGCCGATTCCAAGTCCAAGCGCGCAATTCCATCTCCCAGCAGTATGCGGCGCCGCGCGCACAATCTATTCGGCTAAGACGTGAGCCACGGATTCAAATCGCACCAAAAATCCAAGACCTACCTGCACGAACAAAAGCCGTATTCGAAGCGGTCGGATCCGCAGGGGGATGGATTTCCTATATAAAACAAGTCAGTTGCGTCCGGCTAAATAAAATCACAAACTAACTCGCCGAGGGCGTTCAGCCCGTGGATCTCAAGCCCTCGAGCCTCAGTCCTCTTCCGCAGCGAAGCACTCATGCTTGCCAAATTCGGCCAAACTCATCTCTACTTATGTACGCTGCCTCTTCAGCGCGAACCCTTCCCGAACCTTTACCATCGTCCTTGTGTATCACCAGGCCTCACAAGAGCTCAGGTTCCTCGTTTTTCATCGTGGCAGGCTCACATCACATCGAGGCGGTACTAGTTGGGATGGGCTCCCGGCACGTTATGCGAGAGTAAAACGATACCACGTTGCTGGATATAGGGGGCTATGAATGAGGGGAGGGCAAGACACGGGATCGCGTTCAAAGTCCGTTACATAATCCAGTCTGTTGTCCATGTTCCCCCCTGAACTGGTCGAGCTGATTATCTACCATGCTTGGGGCTATCTTTCGACCAGCAGTCACCGACATGCCCACTCCATGGTGCACTGGATGCTGGTCAGCCATGACTGGCTAAAGATTGTGCTCTCTGTCGTCTTCTGTGACCTCTGGGTCACCTCCGACGCCCACATCAAATACATTACCCACATCTGCCGCTCTAATGCATCCTTCATATGTGAACTAGCTGGGATCACGGACGTCCGTCGGCACCTCGCCCAAACCTGTCATTCCCTCACCATCTCTGTGTACCACAGCTATGAGGGGGAGTACGCCTCCCAATGCGTAGAACTCGTTGAGTATGCCACCACCGACTCGCACCGTCGCCAGCTCCTCCCCGGTTTCTGTCGCTACGGAACCCAGAGATACGCTATCCCGTCCCGGAGCATCGCCACCGTCATCCGCGGCTTCACCCACGGTATCGCCGCCCTTCACTTTGTCCTCATCGACTGCACCGCGACCTATGGCGCGTGGGACACTTCCGCGACAATGCCGTATCTGATGACCATGGAGTACCCGCTCTCGCTCGTCGAGCTGCACGTCACCTTTGCCTACACTTCTCCGCCCCCCGCGCTCCTGCTGGACGCACCTCGCGGCACGTTCTTCCCCCCGCCGTTCCGTGGGGATCTGCCGACGCGGTGCTGGTTTGATGGGGTGCGAAGGCTGGTCGTGCGGGACGCGAACGCAGATTTCGTCGCATTCTTGATGGCGGCGTGTCGGCGGCTGGAGAGGGTCGAGTCGACGGCGGAATTCCGTGCGGAGGATGTACCACAGAATGTGCCCGCGGATGTCAAGACCCGGCTCGTGTTCGTGCGCCTCCCGCGGACCGCAACGTGGGGCCTGACTGGCAGCGATACGATGCCTATTCCCGAGCGCCGGCCGCAGACCGTCGGCGAATGGCGGCGTCTTTCCGAGAAGATGCCTTCCATCCCACAAGTCCCCGTCCGAAAGAGGAAAAACTCCATCTGGCACCTTTTGAAGCATGTCTTCCGGGGACGCAAGTCATAACCTCTTGGCCTCATCCCCTAATCTTGCCTCCCATACCCATTTTACGACCATTCATCATGATGACCCACCTCAGTATCTACTCGCCATCCACGCATCTCCGTCTCTCCATGCAATGATCTGATCTTCAGCTGCTGTAAACGGTCATATTCCCCGACCTACCTACATTCGTGAAACACACCAGCCCCGAGCTCCTTGTTCTCCAGGAGTGGGAGTCCTCGCTAGCGAAGCTACGCAATGACTGGAAGCTTTGCCAACATAAGACTGATGCTATCGAAGAAACTGATAAACAAGAGGATTTTTACCTCCATCACTTTCATCGCTTCGCTCTTTGTGGTGTCAAATATTTTTTCACTATTGCGGAGCATTCTAATCGTCGCTGTTACTTGACGGGGTTTACTATTTACTATTCTTGTCGACTATGTATCTTGTAGAGTATTTATAAGTTCGTTTGACCCTCAACTGTGGCACATTCAGTCGGAAATTGTGGAATGATCGATCTGGATAGGCATCTTCAAACCGTCCTCACGCGCCCAATTCTGGTCCGTTCGCCTTGAAAGTGGGTTCAAACGATGCCGGGGATCGTCCGCTACCTGCTAGGTAACAAGCGAAAGTGCGGAAATTACAAAACAAATGTAAAAAGGCAAAAGAAACGACGCCAGCAGGATTTGAACCTGCGCCCGGAAACCGGAACAGATAGGTTCAAATCCTGATGGACTATCATTCTAATCTGTCGCCTTAACCACTCGGCCATAGCGCCGTAAAAGTTGAAGAGGATAATGTAGTATCAAGGGAGGGGGAAGCGCAGGGAAGCGGTCGATCAAAACAGCGGAGGACTTGCACGTGCAAGATCTCCGGTTGTGATCGAGTCGAGACTCTTACTAAGTTACTCGCACTCGACGACGTTGAACATCCGGATCCGCACCTCAAAATGCTTCGTGCTAAACATCATGGTCCAGGAGAATACGCTCAATTCAAGACCGGAGATCTTGCAAGCTCTGGATCAGCTATTGAACTCTTCACGACCCATCGCGCGATTCGCGCCTCCCTGGAAATATTGTGGATGCAGCACCGTTGCGGGATGCATGATTCATTCCGGCGAAGTGCCTGGGCGCGAAGCGCTCCGACGCGCTCTTGTTCACTACAACATACCAACGAGTTGGCCTGGCTCCTCCTAATCGCTCTTGAACCGTTAGTACGACGGGATGGAGAAGTTCCCGCGCGTAACAACAACGATTCTAGAGGTCCACAACGATCATTATCTCTGGCTTGGTCTCTGAACGACACGATATTTACCAGGTCGAAGCAGTGCATAAAGATGTGAAACACCAATGTGCCTACGTATACTGGTCATACGTTCTGATGCTAGTAGACCATTCAGACGGGCGTATTGGCTTGGTCTCTGAACGACACGATATTACTCACCGGGTCGGAGCACTGCATAAAGATGTGGAACACCAAGGTGCCTACTGGTCATACGTTCTGATGCTAGTAGACCATTCAGACGGGTGTATCTATACGAACACTGGAGAAATATTCAGAACCGGTCACGGCTTCCCGCTTTCCTGTCCGCAGGAATGGATTTCAAGATCCTCGTATGGGTGAGTATTTATCGTCACGCCCGGGTACGATGATGCTCGCCCCACCGAATTGGACTATTCACATTGGCAAACGGCGACAATGGGAAAAGGTAACACGGGGCAGCGTTAGGACGGGGATGTGGCTCGCGAACGTTGGCCATGTAAATTCTTGTCCTTTAACTTGTGAATAAATTCTTCAAACTCTCGGCCGACCGCGTGTTAATTTGGTTCACCGTGACAATGGAGGACATCCAAGTCGCTCATTATCAGACGTTCAAGGCATGGACCGCTCGTTCGAGTCGGCAACGTGAGAACTAACATGCCCTGCTCGAAGAAGTAGGCTGCACCGATTCTTCGTTTTGGATAGAGGCCCTGCATTCCGACCAGTCATTGATAGGTGAGAAAATAACGAAGTAACGGATTTGCCATGAGAAGAGACCAGCCTGTCTGCTTTTCTCGCTGTCCTCGACAGCTGGCATTGCATGCCAGACTCGGCATCAGCTAAATACGCTCATTGAGATACGCGTTCGTCGGGCCCCGCGCGCTGAGGATCGGTATCATTGCTACCTTAACATCATAATCAGACCCCACAAAGCGAAGAAAAATAAATTTTAATTGCAGCAGCAGCGTTTCCGGCGAAGGAAAACAAACGAAACGAAACAAACAGAGGGGGCGCGGGCGGGCGCTCTAAGCACGACAACGACAACATAAAGTTTTTAAGAAGGAATCGTCCCCGCACGGACGCAAAGACCCCCGCCCACACACACGCCCACCGCCGCCGCCCCGTTCGTCCATTTATTCATTATTGACACCTCCCCGCCCGCGCGCCGCGCTTATTTATTTGGTTGGCCAGCCGGTTAGGCCGCCATGTCCTTGGCGAGCTGCTCCGCCTTGGCCTTGACGTCCTCGATCGTGCCGGTCTGCGCGCGCATTAGCTACGAGCTTCGACCCTCAGGCAGTACGCACCATGTAAAACGCCGACTCGGGCAGCGAGTCGTGCGCACCAGACAAGATCTCCTTGAAGGAGCGCACAGTGTCCGCGAGCGACACAAGCTTCCCCTCGTACCCGGTGAACACCTGCGCGACCTGGAACGGCTGCGACATGAAACGCTGGATCTTACGCGCGCGCTCGACCGTCAGCTTGTCCTCCTCGGACAGCTCGTCCATTCCCAGGATCGCGATGATGTCTTGCAGCGACTTGTAGTCCTGCAGGATCTTCTGCACGGCCGTCGCGGTGTCGTAGTGGTCCTGCCCGACCTGGGGCGATGACATGACGCGTCAGCGCGCGCAGAGGGACGCAGGGGGAGGACGTACGATACGGGGGTCAAGCATGCGGGACTTGGAGTCCAGCGGGTCGACGGCGGGGTAGATACCGAGCTCGGCAATACCACGCGACAGCACGGTGGTCGAGTCCAAGTGGGCGAAGGTGGTGGCCGGGGCGGGATCAGTCAGATCGTCAGCGGGGACGTAGACGGCCTGAACGGAAGTGATGGAGCCCTTCTTGGTGGTGGTGATACGCTCTTGCCTAAATAAAATAATAAGAACGGCACATAATGTCAATGAAGGAGACTTACATGCCACCCATGTCAGTGGAGAGGGTGGGCTGGTAACCGACGGCAGAGGGGATACGACCGAGCAGCGCAGACACTTCGGAACCAGCCTGGGTGAAACGGAAGATGTTGTCGATGAAGAGCAGCACGTCCTGGCCTTCCTCGTCACGGAAGTACTCGGCGATGGTAAGACCAGTGAGGGCGACACGGGCACGGGCACCGGGAGGCTCGTTCATTTGACCGAAGACGAGAGCGACCTTGGATTCGCCCTCGAGGTTGATGACACCGGTTTCTATCATTTCGTGGTACAGATCGTTACCCTCGCGAGTACGCTCTCCGACACCTGAAAGCGGACACATGAGCTGGTGGGCGGGGAGCAGGAAAAAGACGAATGCATACCGCAGAAGATGGAGACACCACCGTGGGCCTTGGCGACGTTGTTGATGAGTTCCTGGATAAGCACGGTCTTTCCAACACCGGCACCGCCGAGGAGACCAATCTTGCCACCACGGGCGTAGGGGGCAAGGAGATCGACGACCTTGATGCCGGTCTCGAGAACCTCGGCAGTGGTAGACTGGTCGACGAACGGCGGGGGGTCGGCGTGGATGGGGCTGAGCTTGACACCCTTGATGGGGCCACGCTCGTCGATAGGCTCACCGATGACGTTCATGATGCGGCCGAGGGTGGCAGAGCCGACGGGGACGAGGATGGGCGCGCCGGTGTCGATGACCTTTTGGCCACGAACAAGACCCTCCGTACCGTCCATGGCAATGGTGCGGACGGTGTTCTCACCCAAGTGGGACGCGACCTCGAGGACGAGCCTGCCGCCAGAGAAATCCTGGACCTCGAGGGCGTTCAAAATGGGGGGGAGGTTCTCCGTCTCGAACTGGACGTCGACGACGGCACCGATGACGGTTTTTACCGAGCCGACGACGGCCTTTGACTCCGTTGCATAGCCGCGAGCTGGACGAAAAGTGAGTGCAATGGGGCCGTTTTTTCGCGCATAGACAGACCTGGGGTGGACGCGGAGGGCGACGGGCGGGCGCCAGCGCGCTGGGGCTTGGACTGCGCGGGGACAGCAAGTCTAGGAAGAAGAGCAGCGGTGGAAAAGAAGGCGTTGGTTTTGTTTTTGCTGTTGACTGCCCTCCGGGACAGGCGGGCGACGGCGCCGCGCGAGGTGAGCATCGTCGACGAGGGTATGATGGAAAGGACAACTCAAGAGCGGACCGTGGGAACAACAAAATTATACCCGGCCCACCCGGTTACTTCCGAGGTACCCTTATCAGCAACAGTCGGTCAACAATTCAACAGGATTTGTCTAGGAAATCCTCTAGGTAATTAGACTTGGGGCTATATTCCCCCGGGCAGCATTTCTCTGGGCAACAAAATTCAACCCTACTAGCGGCGCTCTAAGCTCGATTTTTCTCATGGAAGACAAAATAGAAATACCTCGGCGCTAAAAGAACGACGTGCAGTAAAGTCTGTTTGACAACTCTCAGGGACAAAGAGCTGTGCTGCTATATTAACTGAACAAAGACTCGCATCGCATTGCCCCCCAAAATGCTCCCCACCATCCCCCAAGAAAATTGCATCCACACCCTGGAGTTCGCCAAGCTGGTGCGCGCTCTCCCAGACAGCGACCGGTGCATCCCCATCGTCGCCATGGACGCGTACAAAGTCACCGATCCCGCCGACTTCATCATCAACAAGTCCTTCGGCAAATACTCGCATCACTACATCCTCGCTGAAATCGGGACTGCGCCCCCGCTCTTCGCGCGCGTGGACTTCCAGGGCGGCCTCCCGCTCAACGACCAGCCCGTCGCGCACAGCGTCTTGCTCTCGCCCGACCGCGCCGCCATCACCCCCGGCTCTGCTTCCTTCGCCCGCTTTTCGAATGGCAGCCCCGGCGGGCCCACGCTCGACGCGTTCGCGTCCCTACTCGAAATCATGCACGCTCGCACGCCGTACTACGACGTCTTCTCCCGCAACTGCCTTTGGCTCACAGAGTGCATTCTATACACGACGGGGCGGCGCTACGCGGACCACTGGCGCGCTGGCTATATTGCCCCAGTCGGCCTCGGCCGTTACATCAACGGTTTGATCAGCGCGACAATGACCACGGCGGAGATTTACACTGATGATCCCGCAACCCGCTTCTTCATCGACGCGGGGCTGCAGATGTTGAAGGGCATCCAGTGGCTGTTCACTCTCCCTGCTGGAAATAGTCGGATCAGGTTAGCGGACGAGGAAATAGGGGAGATTCTTTGGGAGTGGGATAACAGGAAGGAACTGCACTAACCATCTGGTCTTCAAAAATAATGTGTCCCTTTGCAGTAAATGTTCTCCTGTCTAGTTTGAAAATTAGTTCCATGTCTTGAAATATCCCGCCTCTTCTTACACTTCATTAGTTGGTCAGCTCTTAACGTTCTTATCCTCTCAGCTTCGTTGGGTGTGTCTCAAAACTTTCTTTCCACTATAATACACTGTTTCTCTTGTCTTTCATTCACGTTGCGGGGTATGGTGTATATTGCAATATGTAATGCTCATGAGACAACGGATCCCAGCATCCCTCAGGGACGGTGACCCGTGCCACTGCGGGGTATCAACATTCCAACGTATCAGGGCGTTTC